CCAACTTAGTAGCGATGACCTCCAACCCAAAAGCGATGGCCTCCAACCCAAAAGCGAGGGCCTGCAACCTAATATCAATGGCCTCCAACTTAATATCAATGGCCTCCAACTTAGTAGCGATGGCCTCCAACCCAAAAGCGATGGCTTCCAACCTAAAAGCGATGGCCTCCAACCCAAAAGCGATGACTTCCAACCTAAAAGCGATGGCCTCCAACCTGCCCCAACCCTGCCATACTTGGGTTGGCTAAATGGGTGTGCTGAGAGAGTTCTGGGCATGTTCTGGGCGGACTGGGCAGATGGAGTATGAGGCATGTTGACGGCTGACATGGAATTTTCGCATCGCTTTGCGATGTTTCGGGATGGTACTGTTCAAGTAAGTAGAGTTCTCCTAACCCCACTGAAGGGTGCCGGGCCACACTTACGATTTCTTCCAACAAAGGATTCGGAGTAGAGCAACCTGGCGAGATGCTTTGAGGATGTGAGGTATGGGGACATGTTTGGAAGATTTGGGGAGGCTTTTTGGCGGGTCTTCGTCAGTGTTTGTGTTTATTGAAGCAGGAATGCAGCTTTCCTCCTCAACTACAGTATCTCCCTTTATTGCTTGTAGCTCTCGCGCTTCTGGCTCCCATGTGTTCCACCAGCCTTGCTTGGCAGATTAAATGTCAACCCCCTTCAAACGTGTATTCCACATCATTTCTATCCATTTTGGGGGACCTTTACAGTGATACCGATACCATCATCTGCCATCTGCAGTACCAGTACGGTGTTCATTGCTTTCCAGATTCCCATCTCGTCGCGAGAAAACCTATTTGAGACAACCGAGGGGCACGAAGAAGCAAAGCCAAGCGAGACTCTGCACTGCCAATGTGGACCGGTTCGGGTTCCTCAACGTCTGCAGGGCGTGTCCGCGCGAAAGTCTCCATCTATGTCTGAGGTCGTATCCCGAAACTTTGGTATGACCGCAACAGATTGAGTGTGATGCAGGGTCCTCTCCCGTCCCGCAAGTCCCCCGTTACCAGTTTCACTGGAGACTTGACGCTTTGAGCCACCAGTTGCCCTCTGGCAGTTGGGTGCTCATCGTTGCCTAGCTAAAAATACAATATGGAAAACACACACACACATGGCCACATATGGCCGTGGCTCCAAAAAGGGGGTTCCATCTAAGAGTCTAGGACCAGGAAACAACAAAGATATGCCAAAACTTGCGGATCCTTGTGTCCTACTTTTTGAGCACACTCATATTCATGTGTATCATATATATATATACTTAAATATACTTAATGATCGACTATATATATATATATCCTAAAGTTAAGCATCCGAGCCCTTCTGTCATGTTTTCTTGCAAATATGCACATACCGTTGCCAACATACTTCAGCTGCAAGGAACTGACCCCCCCCACGTGCAATCATTTCCTGATCCTGGACCATGCACCACTTGATGAGTAGAGTGAACTACAGTGGCCACTGGCCACTTGATCAAAGAAGCTCTTGGTCGAACAGGGGCTAGCGTAATTCAACCCACAACCACAGCCTGGGGGCACACCACATTGAGGGTAGTTCTCAATCAGTCTGACAATTGGTGAGTTTGTCCGTGCGGCGCGTTCTTCCGGAGCAGCAAGGAGAAGGTCGCGGAAACAAAGGGAGGTAGGAAGATGCCTGACCGAAGAGAGTCTCCCGTGACCACTAATGCGAGGAAAGGCAGGTGACTCTGGCAGATCCTAGAATTTAGACCGTGAACATGGAATAATCTATCATAAACTATCTATCTAAATAATATTAAATAGTATATATTATACACTACGCTCATTTCATCTCATTTCTCAAGAGTTCCCTGAGGCTCCATCGATTTACGACACCTTTTTGAGTGTTCTTTTGAATAGAGAACTTAATTACTGACTTATGGCCTCATGGATAGAATTACCTAGGACCTAGGTCCGGTTTTGTTGCAGCGTCGGTGACAAGGTGGGAATTTGCTCGCACAGAAACCGGCTGCAAAGACCTTCCGAGAATAATGGACACTAACTAGGGAATCACGAGCCCTCTTGACCTACGGTACTCCTGAGAACGGTTGGTTGCATCCACTGGTTTGTGTCCTTCAAAAGACATCTCTGGGACAAAACAAGTATGTTGAGGATCGCTCCAAACTGTGAGATGATCCTTTGAGCGCTGCTTATCCTTCAACAAACAACCATCATGCGAAGAATCGTCAGTCAACCACTGAAGCCACACCAATGTGGGTCATCTTAGTACTTAGGCACATTATGTGGTTGCAGTCCAGTCTAGTGACGTCATGTTGATCTTCTCAAACCAAGTATTTTTGGATGCCCAGGCGACCCAAAAGCAGCCGCACGGACGGCCTAAACGCAGAAGGACATCCGGAACGCCTTCACCTGAAGCGAAGGTCTCGTCTCGAGGTAGAATGCAAGCGAGGCAAATTGTGCCCTCGGGGGGCCGCCTAATCGGCGAGCACCCATATCTACAACACATGTATAGACATATATACACACACACTCTTAAGGATCTGCCAGCCCTCGAGATGCAAATCCCATAATTGCCGTAGGCTTCCACATGGTCCCTCACTTCACTCAATCCCTGGTGCGATACCAAGGGAAAGAAAACTAGGACCAGGACATACGAGGACTTCAAGGAAAAACCAACTTCCTTTCAGATTTCAACATCTTTCAACCAAGTATATAACAAGAAGCTACTAGTAGCAAAGTGCATTGCTACTAGGAACAAGGGCATTACCAATTAAAAAACATAGTTTCTATCCGGTCCACCTATTAAAAACACGCCTCCCCCCTAATAAGGATCAAAACCCAAAAGTCACCCGAAGGGTCTTGCTTTTCCCCTACAAAAACCTTTATTGGAATAGTGATTCTTCATTAGACTAACAAGTAAAGCTTCCGAAAGGTGAGGTGGGCAGTTACGGTTGTTATTTGGAACCTAATAAAAAACTCCTCCAAAATCGGCCATGTTGGTAGTTTAGTAGCGGCTTGAAAGGGCGATAATTTAACAACAAATATAAACCGTATTTAGGGGGTTCCAACATGTTTTTCTTTTTTTAAATAGGGGTCCGTTTTTAAATAGGTACTCGGGATTACTAGTAGCTAGAAGCTATATACTTACTAGTAACAAGTGCATCGCAACTAGCAACAAAGTGCATCGCTACTAGTAACAAGGCCATTACTACTAGTAGCTACAAGCTACTAGTAACAGGTTCATCCCTACTAGTAGCAAGGGCGTTGCTACTAGTAGCTAGAAGCTACTAGTAACAAGTGCATCGCTACTAAGGGCATTACTACTAGTAGCTACAAGCTACTAGTAACAGGTTCATCCCTACTAGTAGCAAGGCCGTTGCTACTAGTAGCTAGAAGCTACTAGTAACAAGTGCATCGCTACTAAGGGCATTACTACTAGTAGCTAGAAGCTACTAGTAACAAAGTGCATCGCTACTAAGGGCATTACTATTAGTAGCTAGAAGCTACTAGTAACAAAGTGCATTGCTAGTAGTAACAAAGTGTTCCAGAAATACGCTACCCATATCGTTTCAACCGCCCAACCATGGCTCTTTTCTTCCCGCATGTCAAGTCTGACAAAGGGTCCGAGTGGCCGTGCTTGTTCCCCCTCCGCATGGACAGCCGTCCGTAGATCAATCCTGCGAGACAAATCAGCGTGAAGAGACTGCCCACCGTCACGAACTTCTTAGCCTCAGCATCCAAAGGAAGGATAGGAGCAAGGACGCTACTAGGAACAAAGGGCATCGCTACTAGGAGCAAGGACGCCATTAGGGGTTCCTCGCCTTAATAATAGGAGCCAGAAGCTACTAGGAACAAAGGGCATCATGTGTTTTTTGGACTTCCGTGGCAGTCTCGGGACTCCGTGTTTCGCCCTCAGGTTGTTCTTTGGGTTCTCTTTCTTTAGACATCTTGAGACCTTACCTTTTTCATCCCCGTTGCTACCGAGAATAAGAGGTCGTATGCCAAAAAAGGCAGAGGTGTTTCTTATGCTATACAAATGAGTCATACAAAATGACCAAAGCATGGTTGACCACCCCCATTTTAGATTGTCGGTAGCAACGGGGATCCTTCTTCGTTTCTTTCTTCCTTTCATTGTCAAACATGCACAAATTCATGCCTGCCAGCCCATGTCAGGTCTGATTACTGTGCGTTGGTGGCATTGGTCTGTCAAGTGCATCTGATGCAGTTTATAACCCCATCCAATTAACTATATAGTTAATCCTTTTCTGTATGGCAAAGCGAACGCAACCTGACTTCAGCTTGCTTGAGCTCGCCCACCTGGCTCCGGTAGAGCAAACGCTTGGGGTCGAAAACGTGCAACGTGGGCACGTCACGAACCCGGGAGCTGCCGCCAGAATCCTGGAAAGCAGTCCAATGTAGTGATGCAAATGGGTTCAATGATGTTCATTGAACCTGCTAGCAGCTAGCGATCGAATCCAACCTAATAGCGGGAAAACGCAAAACTGGAATTGAAAGTGGATGTAAGTAAAAGACCCTCTGAGACAGTGCCACGTGGGTTTGTATGCATCCCACAATACTGTTCAATTCCCAATTCGCAGTTTATATAGGGGTTTACAAAAGGAGTTCAGGTACAGTAGAATAGAGAGACATTTGCTTGTAATTATATTTCCATATGTTTCTCTTTGACTCAAGGTCTCTGGAGAGTTGGTCCGCCTCAAGCATGACCAATCCCTACCTACTAATTTCATTTCTCTTCTAGTAAAGAAGGGGACCCCCAAACGAACTGTGAAGCTACGACAGGAAATCACTTCTGCTTCGGCTGGAGTCTCCTTTAATGATGTGAGCACTGTTGTTGTTTCAAACCGGGATCCCCAGCTAGGGATGCTGATTTCGTTTCAGTGGTTAGGGATCGTATTTATCTTTCTGTTCTGAGGGATGTAACACTGACCTCTGACAACTGACAATCACAAACCCATGGAAGTCAAGGTCACTGGAAAAAGAACATAAAGAACCATGAGGAAGAGAGGCAGGGAGAAAGAGAGAGAGAGAGCATCGAAAGTCATCGCATACGGTCTCCCTGTGGTCTACTTACGCCCCCAAAGCGGGGAACATATACATATATATTGTAGTATATATTGTATTTTGCAAGGCCTTCGCACCAACAGCACTGCTGTCGCCAAGGTCACCAAGACACTGCAACAAAACAAAATCCTTGGATTGCGTCCAGCCGGAGCTGTCCTTGGTGCTTTGCGAGCCAAAGGAGTTGGATTCTTCCGTCTTGTGCCTGGCCAGGTGGCTTTGAGCCAGCAATTGCAACAACACATCATAAATGATAAAACCTATATATATATATATAGTTTTTGCAAAAAGCAAATGGATATATGATATATATACTCTAATCACATATGTCGGAATGGAAACTCACATCACATCGTCACACAACAAATGCAACACCCTCTGGTGCAGGCAGACTATAAGGTCCATTTGCAAGATGAGAGACGTGCAAAGTTGGAGGCTATTCCAAAAAAAACATCGCTAGTAGGATGGAGGCCATCGCTCTTAGGGGCCAGAAAACAAGGATTTGCCGACTGACCACTTGATCGCCGAACTTATCGCACCTCTTCCAGCCGAAGTTTCGTGGCTAAAACCTCAGCCTATGGTCTCCCTCTCTCTCTCTCTTTCTCTCCACCCGACGGTTGCCAACAACATTTGTTGGGAGACCTGCGCCAAATCACCCGCTGGCTGGGCCTGGTCAACCGCTGCGAGGAGGGGTGCATCAAACTGTAGGGTCTTGCTCCCAGCAGCCTGGCGGCACTAGGACGATGTACTTGGAGGATGGCCTACACTACACTTGATGTGTTCCCCCACCGTAGCGGCACAAACATGGAGGCCGCCTAGCTAGCAAAGGAACATCATGTGTAAAGCCCCGTCCTGGGTGGAGTGCAAGTGGTCAGTATCACTAGAACCGAGGTTTATGCTTTTCCAGCTGCTGAGATTTTTTCACTGGTGGAAACAGCTGATTCTTGTTGTCAGTCCTGCTCCAAGAATTGACTTGCGGGCCTCTGTCGAAGCTGCTGCGTTTAGTTCTGATCCACAAGCATCATGTGTGTGATGAGTACTATTTAATATACTTCCTTGTGCAACATGCGTGTGTGTGTGTGTGTAAAGAAAGAACCCATGTACTTATATATTGCCAAGACGCACTTCCATGACCTTCCATGTGTATATATATATTTATACATATACACTAGAGATGTCTCGATAGAGTCTACTTCCGGATAACATAGTCCACAAACCGACACAGTATTTCTCATTTTGGTCTCACGGAACGCCCTCCCAAACGCCGCAGACTCGCCCCCGAGCGAAAGGTCTTGGTTCGCACCACTCGCCTTGGCCGCCGGGGCTCCTGCGACCCTGGGCCTTCCAGATCCGCCCAGCCGTCTGACAGAGAGGTGAAGCCACTGTCCTTGGACTAGAAAAGGAAGAACGATGTTTTAGTGTCTATTATGCTTGGCCTTTGGTTGTCTACACACCAAGGTTTGAAAACTACTTGCACCTATATTGCGCTCCTGGTACTCGAGGGATTTCTAGACCATTCAATATGACAGTATAATTTGTGATCTTCAAAAAAAAGGACCTCACCCTCTGAAACGACTCCAAATGATACAGTACTTCTGCGTGTCTATGGATCGCCGGAAGGTGGGTTATTGATGCCTTAGGTAGTTTTTGCTTTCTTGTTTAGTTGTATGTAGCTTCCCCTTGAATGGATATGATGACAAAACACACAACGAGTACTCGAAATATGCGCTGCTGATTTTGAATAATTAACCAACCAACCCTCTTGGTTCTTCAATTCGTTTCGCCTCGGGTGAGTTTGTGAACATTGCATTTAAACATTATTTGCAATTTGCCAGAATGGATTATTTTGGTTGCCTGTGCATGCTTCGGCTTCATTTATACCCATCTCTACCCTAGCCATGGGTACATAACTCAGGCAACCGCTTGTCCTTCACTTGTTGATTGCTTTGGGCTTTCTCGTACTCCTGGTAAACAATGCAACAATCTCACTTCGCAAGTTCCTTTTCTCGGCTCTGAACAAAACTGCCAGGACCGGGAAGAATCATGATAGATTGCTTGCAGATCCTTTAGACCAGGACTTGCAACAGTTCAGGAGGTGTCCGCATGTTGAGATGATTCAGTATGTTGGTCTGCCCACATATTGGCAGATCTGATCGTTGGTAGTCTTGGATCTTTTGGCAGTAGTAAAGCATCCTACAGCCATTGTTGATGTGCCGATGTTTCCTTTTTGCTGGACTTAATCCTTCAACGTGTCACCGATCACAAATGGTCTGATGGTGATGTTATTCGTAGCACATGTTGTCGATACACGTTTCTCTATGACATGGTCTCGTTTGCTCATCTGGCCTCGCCTTTCCAGGCTACTGTTTCTTTTCACCAAGTCAATTAGGGCAGCCGCTCCTTTTTTCTCTATCAAATTAAGGGTTCGATGCTGGTTTGATTGAGCTACAGTTTAGAAAAGAATCATCAAGGAATTCAAGTGGTTTTGCTATGGCGTGGAAGGAAACTGCAAGTTTAGATTCCATGTTCACGAGGACTTCAGTCAGGTTCTTCTGACAGCTTCACTTGTACCGAAAAAGTCTGAAGACCCTAACTGTGAGCATCGTGCTTGATCAATCCTATGTCACACCTGAGCGGCGGTCAAAAGGTCGTGTAATTGGCCTATGTCGTAAGGATTTGCTTACGCATGCACTTACGCAATGCTTACGCGCCCCAGGTTTTATCTTACGCGTGGGAAAGGGACTTATTTGAAGCTTACGCGCTCTTACGCGAAACATAAACTTTAACCACACCACAGCGGCAGCTTACGCGCAAATTGTTTTCCAAGCAGAAGTTATGCTCAAGAACTGTCAGACGAGTCGGCAGAAGATGAGGAAGAAGACGAATCAGAGGCATCAAGTTCTTGATCACCAGGCTGAGGGGTGCGCTGCTGGGTCATCTTCCGTCTTCTCTTCGCACATGTAAAAGAGCTTCGAACTATTCCATCATGTAAAAGAGCTTCAGCTTCTGATACTGACGGGCAATGCGCTTGGAAGGTTTCAGAAATAGTTTGTAGGACGCGCTGTCTTTGTCGCCATTGCAGTTCAGAGAAAGGCTTTGCTTTCGGAGGCATTGTGGGCAAGTACTCACAAACACAAAGTAGGCTTACGCGGAGCTTACGCGCAGCTTACGCGGATTATCGTGCATCGCATCTCTCTAAAAGTTGCATTGATGGTTGATAGGCCATGCTCTCTTGCCCTTTGGCCAGTGAACCTTTGGCCAGTGCATCTTGATAGGCCCACCAGCAAATAAACAACAGATTGGCTCTTGAACAAATGCATTTGACTGCAACTCAACATCTCCCTGATCAAGGCTACAGCTATTCCAAACATGGTTTTCAACTTTCTCGACTATGCTTATGCAACATGTGATCTGAAAAATCTGCTTACGCGAGCTTACGCGACTCAGTCTTTGGCTTACGCGAGAAAGCCTTATGACAAGGCTCTTTCATGTCACAATTAGGCGGGTTTTGACCCTTGCTCACCTGGAACCTCAATCTGCGTTTGCCAAAAGAACTGGACAGGTTGAAGGTTCACTTGGCCGTGGGTGGATTGGCCCTTTGGAATCCTCTAAAAAGCACGTCAAGCAGGCCACCCTCACCCACCTTCACACCTTCGAAACCAAAATAGCAGTTGATTTCTGAGGCAAACTCATTTTGCCAATATCTACAATACGAGCAGCGGACAATACTACTTTTATAGCCAGAGACCATTTAAGAAGACATGAGTTTGGTCTAAGCCAGACAGGGAGGAAGCAGGGTCTTGGGTAGATTTCCGCCCTACACCCGCTCATTGCTTCTTCTGAATGACTATCGATTTGGTAGGTTCATATCTCTTTTCAATGTTTCTTCAAGCCGTACTTTAGATAGGATGTCGGCACATCGACGTGCAAGCTAGCTTGATGTCGCGGTCTTGCCCAGTGGCCATGGTGTTGCTCCGCCGCAACTCCGAGCTGTCGTCTGTGGCGGAGGCCTCCGGATCAAAGGTTTTTTGCAGATTGGACCTTTCTCTCCACTAGGAGCAAGGACGCTACGAACTGGGCTCCTGGCGTTACTACTAGGAACAAGAAGCTAGGACCGGGCCCCCCATGCCTCATCAATGCACTCTGCAAGTTTGCCTATCCGAACCATGTTCTTGGGCGTCTGGATGTGTCTGGGTCTGAGTCATGCAATTTCTCCTTCTACTTGCTATAGTCACTTTAGGATGGTGGCACAGTTAAAAGTTAACAGTTGTCCACGCTTCCTCCTTCAAGACTTACCCACAATGCAATGTATATGGCACAGCCCGAAAGTGAAGACTGATTCATTTTGGAGGGTTGCCTTCCTAGGGCTCTTTGAACCCAGCTGCCTCAAAGCAGCTAGAACCACTCTGAGCGGATTGCGATGACCAGAATCCATTGAGGCAAAGGCATGACGAGTGACCAGGGTGACCCAAATGATTGGTGCAAACATGCGCAAACGCAATCCCATGGTTGTTCACGCTGGCCCCACCAGGTGGACATCATTCGGCAAAACATCGCCAAATTCATCTGGAGGGACCTTTAAGACTCGAGTTGTAGTTGCAGCACAAGACCGGCACAAGTCGCAAGGCTCGCGCCTGCAAATTTCGAATCATCTCGCGCAAGGCTCGCGTCTGCACTACTTGGTACAAACCTGCCAGCACGATGGACCTCAGCTCTCATCTTGCTTCTTCTGCCAACCTTCAGTGGATGTGTCATGCAAAACCTGAGATTCCCCAAGCCCCGGATTGCCAAGCTGTCAGCTATTGGTCCAAGAAAGTACAAACCCCATTTTCCTTCCCTAGCTTCCTTGCTTCACCCCTTCGTCATTGGAAGCGGATTCTTTACATTTTTCGGGGATCTCAGAACTCCCCGCCCCCCGCCCACTTTCTTTGTCCTTTGCCACGTCGGTGACATCTCCATATTAGTTTCCTGATGGTTCTTCCTCATCCAAGCGACTGAAAGAGCAAACAAATCGCCCAGGACACCGAGAAAATAAAAATGTCAATGTAGCGCTCGTTGGAGTTCTCGGGTGACGGGAAACCCTCCACGAGGACTGCCACCTGTGTGGGCGCTTGCGATGAAACATGCGCCCCAAAGCACAGCGCGATACATGTCATAAAGTATTGATGTGAGGCCAGGCCTTGACTTGCGAGACCTGAGAAACCGATTAGAGGATATTGTTTTATATGTTGGTTGGACACCAAGCCACTTTGGCAGCCTATGCGTATTAATATTATTTGCACACTTACACACACAGGTCCTTGCCTTTCAACGGCAAAGTTTCATCAAAGAGCTGTGCAAACCACAAACAAATCGATGCATCAGAAAATCACAAAACCAATCCAAGATTCAACTCTCTAGCCATATAAGGTCAGCCAGCAATGGTTCAATGGTTCTGATGGCCATGAACACCGTCCGCAACATTGAGTTCCTGTGAGACACAAGATCCACTTCAACCCCAACAAAAACAGTTTATGCTCCAATCAAGCAGGCGGTTGGAGGCATTTGAACGCCAATTTTCCGATGGCTGTGACCGGCTGAGACCAGGTCCAAATCTCTGGTGGACTGCGGTGACAGTCCTATCTGAGCGGGGGGGAAGTTACCAGGCGATCATACTGATACTGGCGATCATAAAGCTACCAGAAACTACTAGCAATGGCCCCCAACCTAATAGGAATGGCCTCCAACACAATAGCGATGGCCTCCAAGTCCACAGACCTAAAGGATGTACTGCCGACTTGTCGGATCTAAGGACTAAGGACCAAAATCCTCACTTTTGATTCGCCTTTGGAAGGGATCTTTATCGAGAACCTGACACCAACATGCACGTGCACAAAAGGCCCAAGCTGCTACGAAGCCGAAAAGCAAGGTGGACTTGAGGACAGTGCTCTGTGCCTTGAGGATGAGAAAAAAAGAAACGTCGTTTTTCAATCCCAGTGCATCACACGAACCCTTCTCCTGATTCCCTCATACCCGAATGAACAAAGCCACCTCCGCACAATGTGGGTTTCTGAGGGAGTGCTTACATATGCTTACATTAAAGTGAAGGCATTGGTCATCATAATGCAGAAGTTGAAGGATATTCGGCTCTTCCAAGATGTTCCAGCCAGTATTCCCAAGCTTTGTAAGGTCTCTACTATCGGATTCTACAATACGTCTACAATCCGTTTCAATTCCTTCTCAACACAATGGCAAAGGATCAATGCAGCAATGCCATTGTCTTCTTCTTCTTCTTCTTCGTTTCCTTCTTCTTCTTTTTCAGGGCAAGCGGTGATTCAGCCTAAACACAAGCATTACATCAAACACAGAAATACTGTCAGACTTGGCGCCATTATTAGGCATCTTGAAGAATCAAAGAGCACTTGCAGCGTCGGCCCAGTTCTCTTTCCTAAGACAAACATGTTTTAAGCTAAGCAACCTTCTTTGGGTGAGCTCTTGTTTGACAAGCTTCAACCATTCCAAAAGGACACTGTAGAGAAATTGGGATACGATCTGGCCAAAATGGCTTCAATTCCACCATTTGGGCGTCGAACCGTTTTTTCGGCACCGAATCCGTGGTGTTCATTCACTGAATGTCTGGCCCAGTTTGTGGTCATATATGTGTGGGAAGCCACACATTGGCACAAAATGGCACAAATGCACAAGCAATCTTTCAGTCTTAGACATTGGTAATCATTGTTAGAAGAACCGCCATTGATCACTCAATCCCCTGCTTCTCATCTGCATGGGCCCAGCCTCATCCAACGTCTCGCTCAGAAGGTCCCGCAGATTCTCCCGCCTGAAATCGATAACCCAAACGGTTTGGTCTCAAAGCTAGAGACGTGGTCCGCCAAAACGTCCTATCTCCTTACAAACAGTTATATTTATATATTAATTGTATTATAATATATATATACAGTATATAGTTATATATATATAACTGTATAACCTTTGTAACACTGTAGAATCATCAATTTTGTAGTTCCACGAAGATCGTTGACCTCGAAAGCATCGGGAGATTGGATGTGGATCCAATTGTGGACCACAAGACTTGCCTCCTAGATGCTCCTCCTAGTTTGGTGTCCATCCCCTTGGTCCCCATCGACCTCACGGAAAGTACGGACAAGCCATTGATGCATCGCCCTGCTGTTCCGATAAATGCTCCCTGTGTAATCCTTGTGTCAATGTTTCTTTCGGGGTGGACACAAAGATCTAGCCAAACTGTGGACCCCCGTCATGTTACTACAACACCCTTACATCATTTTGCGCCCTTCAAACAGTTCGATATCTCAACACCCACAAATAGACCCAAATAGGTGCTTTTCTTGCCAAGAATGTTTGCATGATTCGTATGTGGAGTGTAACGCATATTCAAGACCCGTCCCACATAGGTGTGGTGTTGGTGAAAAATATCGCACCTTGTCTCCATGTAGCTATGCTTCATTTGCTCCTCATGCTGCAGCTGAGAACGGCCTAGGCGCGGCAGCTCAGCTGAGATCTCTGCGTGTTTTGGCAAACAATTGGTAGAACTCACCCTCTCGTGCAGCAAGAAATGCCACTTTAGCTGTCTCCTGGCACTGCCTGCCAGTTCCAAAGATAAGTCAACACTGGAGTTCCTATTCACTGCTGTTCAGCACTGTTCAGAGTGTGTATATATATATATATATTATATATATGTACAGTATATATTCATGAATATTAAGTCTACTCACCACTACATCCCTGGACTTCTGGATTCACTTCACATCAAGACTATACCAATCGGATCCTGGAAGCCACAAAAACCAAACACAACGAACACGTTGATTCATGTCCAAATGCATAGCAGGTGTTTCCCCTAGCTACTAAACAAGAAGACATGTCACTTGAGCCTTGGGTTTTTGGATCAGGCTTCGCTCCCTTGGCTGCCCGGCTAAGGCTTTCATCATGCATCACGCGGCTAACATGAAGAGACTGGTCATGCTGAGTCTTGCTCGTCAGAATGGCTTCCTGGGCACTACGAAGGCACAAACATTCCGTGACGTACCAAAATTCTACAACATTGCCACATTAACTCACTTCAGTGTCACAAGAAGATTGTAAGAGGATTCACATAGGCTCACCCTTACAATAGACAGCCGTGACAAACCTCCCATTCCTTTACGGGCGCTGAGGGTAGCGACTCTAACGACCCCAACGATCCACCGGGGAGGAGCGGAAAAGTATATAAATCCCGAGGGTACTGCGTCTCACCACAAAACACCTCGGAAGATGCCAACCTGCTAAACCACACAGTTAAAATGAAAACATCAGCACCTAGTCACGCAAACCATTGGCAACCCAGCTTTTTTCTCAGAATCCGAGCCCAAGCTGCTCCGACTGATCCCCCCAATCCATGCGCGGGCGCCTCATGGTGCTTCACCCCGTGGTGTAGCGCTTCACTGTGTTGCACCTGGGTGACCTTCATGGATTCCAAGTGGAACCTCCGGCCATGGTGTGACACCCCTTGAGAAAGCACCAGTTGAATGACGTGTTCTCTGGATTCAACAACCTGGAGTGCCTTTGAGTGCCTCAAACCTTAACCCATGTCTGCATTCCAGCATACAAACATCCTCAAACATCTAACACCCAACCGCCAGGCAATCTGGTTCCAGTAGGGAAAGTACTACAGCTTTACCATGCTTCATCGCTGAAGAGAAACCTACACCTCAACTACTTCTGAAGGAAAGTTACCATGTTGACTACATTAGAAGTTCCAGGAGCCAATTTTCCAGCCTCATGGGTAAACAAATGTAACCAGGATTGTTTGATATTGTCCATCCATAGCTACGATTGCCCTTTCGAAACCTCTGTGGAGAAACATCAACCACTAAAAGCTTACTTTCTCTACAGAATTACAGAACCATCTGTTTTGATGAGTTCCTTGTAGTCATTTGCATGCTGTACATAATATAATGATGTATGCATCTAGTATCAAACCGGCCTTTCTCCTGCTTCCAGTGAATGGTGATGTTGCTTCCAGCTATCTCGAACGCTCATGATACTGACGCCCATGTCCAGGAGGCCCATGGGATTTACCAGGACTTCCTCCGTGCAGGCTCGGCTGTGAGGGCTGTCATGTGGGTGTTCATCCACATTCCGAGTTTCCTGAAGGTTCGTTGCCCCAGGAGCCCCTAGTAGCGTCCTTGTTCCTAGTAGCGATGCCAGGAGCCCCTAGTACCACCAGGGACAGCATCCGGAAGAACCCATGGCACTTACCACCTGCTTCCTTCATACTAGCCGCGGGAACCAGAGTGGGCAGAGTCGGGTCAAACAAACTGGCTGGTGCTCAAACCAGTGGCAGTTGCTTCGCCATGCTCGTATTGGTATGAGAGGCTCAGTGGTCCCTGACCCCACCAAACCATACTCTTCAGCAATTGTCAGTTTAGCGGACCCTTCAATGTCTATAACAAAACAATCCCTTCGTCACTCTGTCTTGCCCGACCTTCCTGAATGCAACTCTTGGATTTGCTCAAAGCGGTTCTACTGTGGCTGTGACTATGAATTGGGGTACGGCACCCATCATCTTTACCCACCCGTCATCATTCCCAACCTCTATTGCTCTATTGCAGGTACAAGAATTGTGTTTTGTTGCTTTATGCGGCCGGAATAGAGGGAAGTAGTGAAGTAGTGAAGTAGTGTGCTCAAACCTTTAGGAATGTCTAGCCAGGCCCCAACTACCACAAGGCTGGAATCCTGTCGGCATGCAGCAACCCAACCCAAACATAGGTAGAAACCCAGCACCCACAGCAAAGGAGTTACTGTAACCTCGCCTTGAAGACCATCGATGAATTTGAGATCCGAGAAAAGTATCACGTGTCTGCCTATCTGCCTGATGTCATGTCACACTTGATTTTCTCTGGTCTTACTAGTCCATGCCATAGACTTTGGGTTCTGGAGAGATACATGTCCATGGGATTTTGGGCCATGAGCACCCATGAACCTTTGATCTTCAAGGCCTCAGAATCCCCTCAAGAGAATGAATATGTCTCAAAAGAAGGCTTCGGAGATCGCAACACTCAGAGTTCTACCAGCTCTTCCGATCCGGTGCTGCTGAGGGTCCAAGATCGCACCAGCAGCATTCTGAATCATGGTCATGGCACGAAAAAGGCGGTGGAAAAGAAAACCCACTGTGAGTTTGACATGGTCTAAACCTGGGAGAATATGGTATGTGACCCGTTACGGCCCCGGATGGTCTAAACCGCGGGCAAACTTCGGGGTCCGATTTGACTCGCCCCAAGTGGTCCTTAGGGAAACGGTCTAGTGGGACCAAGGTCTTCCCAGAGTCCCAGTTCTGATTCCATTGTTGGGGACGGCACAGTGATCACCAGTGGTACTGAAACCCCCAGAAAAGAAACCACCTGCAGCATACATGTGGCTTGAAGACTGGTTGGCTCCCAACCAGCTGCCAGGCCATGAAGTTACTTCGGCTATCGTCCTGGCTTTCTTGCATCTGGTTTGGAGTGCCAATCTACAGTTGATGCAGCTCTGATTGAGACACCCACCATTTGCAGGGCTATCCAAGCTGGTGCAGTATCGAGGGAGAGAGTTTTGATCAGCAACTATTTTGTTTGTTGGCTGCAAAACTGTTCTTGAGCTTGAAGTTCCAAATCATAGTTTGAGCCTGGACTGAAGGCCGGGCAGTATTTCAAGACGCTCCACTTTGTTCCTGGATAGCATGACCTTGTTGGGTCAAACCAGAGATTCTCGGGGGAACCAACAATTCCAATAGATTAGGACGCACGTTGGGTTCCAAGGAGGTGCACTTCATCCTTGAGCCATGGATTAAGTGCATCTGGACAAGTACAAGGCACCCTTTGACCCATAATGTAGCTCGTCAACATAGAAAGACCTGATAGACCTGATAGATAGATGTTGACATGGTCTTGCCGCAGCTGTCTCTTCATCTTTCACAACCATTCATAACCAGGATGCGCTTTTTGTTCCAAACACATGATTTCCCATCACATCGGCAACTGGACGCACTGGCAAAGTGGATTATCAACAACTTTTGCACCTCGTAGGTCCCCAACACCTATTCTAGAATCTCCATGATCTTTGCCTGCCCCTTATCCGAGTCCTTTCCGTGTTTTGCCATCGACGCTTGATGAAAAATGCCGAAAAGAAGCCGGTTCCGCTCAATGAATCGCCCAGTGAGCCCCAGTGACAGGGGAGCCAGTTCAGGAAAAGTGAGTCGTCAAAGTGAGTCTCGAACATTCTACTGAGTCCAATGAGGCCAATGAATGGGCCCTTTCGGCGTTCAATGTGAAAAGAAACATGTGACCAAATGGTGACGTGAATATCCGAGAAACCTGAGAAGTTTGTATTCTCTTCTGAAAGAACTTGTTAATTCTGCTCCAATCTTGGGGACTGAAACCCTGTTCGCTTTGGTGATCTCCTTCTCTTTGGCATCTGTAGCACTGAGCTTTAACATTTCCTCAGAGTTCAGGGCACGTTTGAGAGGAATCGATGCAATTCTGGATGTGAATCCAAAGCTTCATACAATTTCCACACTGGCAGTAAACCCCATATCACACACACATATATATATATAGTAATATATATATATATATTATATATATATGTTTATTTTTTAAATGTTGTATTCGTATGTTTTTGTATTCAATCCTGTCCTCATCTGTCATCTTCCTAGGGCTTTACGACTTACAGAACATGTCAACCTTTTGCATGACCAAATCTTGAAACTCGAAGGCACAGTCAGACCCTGAGTCTTGCTAGCATGTGGTCCACAAGTCCACGAAACCCAAGTCAATGGTCTTGGAGTGTCGAAAGGCAACTGATCCATGCTGGTGTGTACATGTTGTTAATACTGCAAGATTGACCCCAATACTTACCAGGTAAACATGGTAAACCACCTATCGCGTGCTCTGAAGGGACCACAGTCCAGCATACGAGGTGTGCGCAAGCCGAAGCCAATGAGACAAAGTCCGACCCAACAGGCTGAACATCACTGGGCACTGTATCCCCTTCAAATAGAAGGGACCAGCCAGCATTTCACTTGGATGGCTCGAAATCCAACAGAGTATCTGTGTTCACAGCCTCTCTTCAACCTCAAAAGTTCCGAATGGGATTGTTCGGATCACGCAAAACCCAAGTCAGGTGAAGGGATCCACGGCATTCCTAAGAGAGTTTCAAACCATTAATGCACCTCGGCAATCCAAAGCAGCTGGCCTGCCAAACGCACGCCACACATGAGAGAGCCAACTTCCTCTTCTTTCCCAAAACCGGTCCCAACTCCCGGCTACAGTGCTGCTCAGCTCTCTACCAGGGTCCCGAACCCGCGGTCTCTACCACTTGGTCCAAGAGACGTAGAAGCGGCGTTTGGGCCAACCGGCAATGTCCAGCACCTCCGTGAGCAACGTTCGCACCTGGGAGACCAACGAGCAACGCATGAGAGGCATTGAGAACGGTGTCCAGGAGCACATGGAGTCATAGAAAGGGGGCAGGATTGAGTTTGGGAACGTTCTTTTGAGATCCTTGGAGATGGTGCCTACAGTCGAGGATCGATGGATCTGTTGCCGTTTCACATGTTTTGCTTTTTTGTTGACTTGGTGACTTGGCATAGGCCCAGGCTTAGGAGTGAAGGGACTTGCCGTTGCAAACAACCCCGGCGAGGTTACAGTTCGATTCTCTTCTGTGCATTGTTGCAAACATACCTGATTAGAGAATTAATCATAATTTGGGGTCGTCTCCATAGAACGCTTTCAAGACATATGTCCGCAGAGAATCTGGAAGTCAGCCTACATTGGGGTGATTGGACAGTCCCAACAAATCCAGATATCCGCGTGGAACACCGCACAATGGTAAGTCATGGTTACGCCAGGCGAATGCTACCCAAACACAAGCTCTTGAAAACTGCTATCATCTGCTATCCTTCCAGCTACCTGAGTTTGGTGGATGTATAGCTGGCCAGCCAACCTGAAGAAGTACCTAAAGTAAGCGCGCTCCTGGTCAGTGGGGGCAAAGCCAGCACTCTGAGCTTTTGTGGAAACAAAGGCCCAGGCCATCTTGCCGCGCTCGACGGATCAATCATGCCCCATAAGGTCGTTCCACAAAGGTTCCCGATGGAATCTCTGATCTCAACGAGAATGACGGTGAGTATTTCAAGGAGTCGCCATGCTATGGTCAAACTGTGTGACAATGCCAATGCTTAATACCCAACCCCGTGGGGTAAGAGTAACACTTAAACTTATCTGGTGGACCCCTCCTTTGATGGGACACAACAACAACAAAACACATAAAATAAACCGAGATCATCCGAGATCCATTTCTGGCCAGGCCCTTTGAAGACAATCCTGTGGACAGGTGAATCTTTTGGGTCTCACTTTGGTTTGAGGTCTCGAGAAACATCTCCAAAGCCTGAACACTCACTATGCGCCACTGGTCCAAGATGCTGTGATGACCTCCGGCAATGGAACCGAGCGATTGGAGTCCACCGGGCGCAAATGCAAGATCTCATCTCCTGCAATGCGAATCGGAGAACAGTGTTTCACATCATCTCACAAAATCTCACAACTGTCATGTCGCGGTGCTGATTCTGGCATAAGTTCAGACTGCTAGCTGCTAGTCAAAGGTTTGTTGTGTGGGTCACTGAAGAGCCTACAAAAACCATGGGTTTTGTTCTCGCGGCCTGAAAAAAATAAATCAGCAGCACCAAGACTACATGCTTTGCAATAAGCTTCACTCAGCTTCAGCGAATAAAACTCCGCTTGTGTCATCATTGCGACAAACACCAGTTTTCTGGACTGCCCTGGTTAGTCAGTGTTCCTAAACACCAAGTGTTTTCGGCTTTGCCAGAAAATTGATTGTTACCGTAGCATCGTGGCGTTCGGAGCAGTACATAGCACACCACATAGAGAAATGCAAAGCCAATAACTTCAAGTACTTGTCTTGCCAATCATGCATGATTATTCCTCGTGATCAAATTGTTTGCGCTCAATATATCACATATATAAGGACGTACCTGGCACCTTTACACAAAAATTCACCTATGCTCCACAGCCTCATGAACATGAAGCTTTGATGATAACAAAAACAATAATGTCAATGTGGGGGAGTTTTGACGTCTCGAACCCCAAACATGACCTTGCGAATATTGACATGCAAAACAACGCCCACAAATCCTGCATGTGCTGTGTATTGTGTGTTTAACGGTCCACACCCTAGCTCATCCTCGTATATAACTGCAGGGGTGGGGTAGTGGCCTGCCTGTCCGTCTAGTGTTGCACCCGCGGGTTGAACCCGGGTCCGATGAGGATGTGTCATAGCCACTAGACCATACCCGCCCTCATTCCTGCGTGTGTATCAGAATAGGGAGGACCCTGAGCCAGATGTTCGTTGATGTTTCGTCTTCCGATAGTCCCTGGTTCAATACAAATCAATAACACATACATGTATATATGTATTATACAGTATATATATAACACTCAAATTCCATCAAATATACAAAACATGTCGGTTGAACAACATATTTTTTTTTCAAAACAATGCTTCTCTCAGAGTTTTTTTGGCATGTGGAAAAACAACCACCTTCTAAGTGCAAAAAAAACATCCGTTCCAGACACATCAAACTCATCCCATCCCTCCCCAAACTCCTGCGATCCTACAAAATAAACATATAAGTGTGTCGCTTCAACCATCATCTTGAACACAGGTTCGCAGCTCCTTTCATGTTGAGCGCCATGAGACACATGTCAACCTGTCGCTGACCGGCAGCAAGTGCAACAGGGAAATACAACGCAATCCAATCTCACTGATTCTGCATACAAAATACCAGTACTGTATACCAAAACCCAAACTCCACATGCCAGGAAAACCATGTTTTGGGAGTTGCATCTGGTAATGTGAGTCCTTCACATGAGTCCAAAGGACAAACTTGTCAGAAAAAAAAAAAAACATATTTCCACCAAACTACGTCCACCAAACTCTCTAGGTGTGCTGCTTCCCATGAAGACTGGATGAACTGACGATACGTCACGGTGTATGACTGGAACTTGCATGGCCAACTTGCATGGTGCTGTCCGTCAATCAGCTGTGTCATTTGACCCATTCTTATGGTCCTCTTTGCTTTATGTAAACTGATTGATTGCCACATCTGTCAGGTCCACAACTT